AAAATCTTGAGGATCTTGGAAATAAATTAATTACGAATGAAAACATAACATATCTCTCTAAAAATAACTTTGTTATCAGGTGTGTTATAATTATTGCTACTAATATTATTATTAATATTATTAGAATAAGTAGAAAAGGTCGAAGAATTAATTTGTGGATGGTTTAAGGGAAAAATAATATTTTTTTATCATAAAATTAAGATATTTTTTTAAAAAAAATGCAAATAACGATATTTTGGTTAGGGATTATATACTTATTATTATTATTATTATTATTATTTATTGTGGTATGAAGAGGTAAAAAGTATTAATCTTCAACATTTAATAAATAGATTATCCATTATTAAAATTAAATTAATATAGATCATTATCAACACACTATAAATTAATATAAATTATTATCAACATGTTATTATTAAAAGAAGCGTGTTACGGAAGGTTGGTATTAATTAGAAGAATTAGAAGATTTACGTATTGAAATTATTATAAATTATTATAAATTATTGCAGTCGTTGGAATAAAGAATTATAATGTGTGTGTGGTTTCTGCTCATGCTGTCGGTGTCGTTGTTACTGTGTGTATAATGGACTCTGATTTTCTTTCTTTCTTTTTGATAAACCTTTTTTATCAGGAATTTATTGATTTTAATTCAACCTTTTAATTAAATTGAATTCTAATAAATCTAATTAATAAATTACCATTTGTTAATGATCCTTTGCTGAAATTTAAGAAAGCAGAGATTCCCCTGTAACCAAGATATATATAGCAATGGCAACAGCAACTACAAAAATCATACGCTATGAAAAAATACCAACTGCTAGCTACATCTTGTAATCGAGCTTTTTTTCAATAATCAATGATTGCAAGCGTTGGAAATCCAAGATAAATAACCATTTCTATCTTCCATTCTTTCTTCAGCTATATTGTTTAATATGGTTAATATTATATATACTGACTGGTGGAGTCAATGTAGAAATTGATAATTACAAAAAATTAAACAATAATATATCAATCTAAATAATCTAAAAATGCAAACATATAATTACTTCAATAATTCAATTGAACAAAACTTTCGTCAAATTTTTTACTTGAGAGGCTTGGCTTATATCATGGGTTTTAACTTATGTTAAGGTTTTTGCTTAATATTAAGTCAAAAATTTTGACAAACAATGTTAAATGAGACAAAAATGGGAAAGAGTAATCAAGTTAAACTGTTAATGGCTCTTACCAATGCAGTATTATAGCGATCAGAAGGTAAAACATTGGAAAAATGAGGTGTTTTTGGATATGGTTGAGTCAGTAAATTTATTGGTCAACACAAATGGAAATGTACTGCGTAGTGAAGTCCTTGATGCAATCAAGATGAGATGTCATTTGAGTGATATTTTAGAATTAAGGCTTGGTCAAAATGATAAAGTGATTTTTGAGAATACTAAAAGGTCTTCTATCAAGAGGAAGGACTATTGAAATGGAAGATGTTACATTTCGTCAATGTGTTCATCTTTTAAGGAGAAAGTGGCCAGATACTTGCTCAAAAATACAAGGGTCATCTTTCAAAGGCAAAACCAGGAAAATACGAAATCAAAACAAAGGAAACTAGTTCATCAAATTATTTTATAGCAAAAGAGATACAATATTGTAGTATCAATGCTATTGCTCATTATAGTTATGATTGAGCCTAACATGTCAATACATCACAATCTGACCAACAGGTAAGTGAGATCTATTATTATCTTAGTTCATATAGAGTTCATCCTTTTGGAATTCAAG